ATGAAAAGTGCAAACTGATTGTCTGCCAGCAGGAGGCGCTTTAAGAGCGGTTGAACAAGCGGTTTCTCCAGTAATGGCTGTAATCAAATCAGCTCCGCTCATGAACACTTCTTTATTAGATAAAATAATCCCATCGAAACTTTTCTGAAGACAGTCCTTTCCCTTTAGAGATACATTCATTTAAAAAACCCGCAACAAGTTTTGATTTTAAAACGTGCAGTGCTCATGTTTATTCGATGAAGTCAAAAGCCACAAATAAATCAATGTATGGGAAACACTGGTAATGTAGGCTATATCGAAATATCGGAAATGTGTTTAAAAACCATATCACCGTTATTGAAAAAAAAATATATAGCGATACATATTGATATTGAATTATTGTCCAGCCCTAATTATGATCCAATTTAGATTGAAGTGAAGTGTCCCATAGACATGAAACAAGTGATGCATAGCAACTCACCACTGAAGACCTTCTTGGTTTCTTTGTGCAGGTTGGACACAGCGATGCGGGCCGCCAGGATGGCATAGTCAGGGTGTTTGGTGGTGAGGGTGGCAGTGATCTCAGCAGCCAGGGTGTCCAGCTCTACTGTGGTAACGCCGCTGTAAAGGCCCTGAATCACCTTCATGGTGATCTGAGTCTGCAAAGCAAAACCACTTGATTTAGGGTCAGAGCTTTACATTTGCTTCTTGGAAGGTGATTCTTTAAAGGGGTCATGATGCAATTTCCTTTCTCTTTGGAGTGTTACAAGCTGATTGTGCATAGATAAGATCCCTGAAGTTGCAAAGACTAAAGTCTCAAAACCAAAGAGATATTCTTTATCAAAGTTAAGACTCTGCCACACACCCCTAAAACGGCTCGTTCTAACACGCCCCCACATATCTATCTCACTATGTGGAAATATTAGCATAATGCCGCCCAAATGTTCAAGTAAAGAAAGAAGGCGTGGTTTCAGTAACCGCAGTTAGTGTTGAAGCAGCATGTCAGGGAGACGCTGTGTGTTTCTAGGCGAAAGCAAAAGCACTTTATTTGGCCTTCCAAAAGTAGATGCATTTAGGAATCTTTAAAGGGGTTTTATTATGCTCTTTTACAAAATCTTGATTTTGTTTTGGGGGTGTACTAGAACATGCTCTCATGCTTGGTGGTTCGAAAAACGCATTATTTTTCACATAATTTACATTATTAAAATACCTTTCTCCCCAGCCTGCCACAAACGGCTCGATTAGTTCCGGCTTTGATGAAGGTCCGCCTTCCGAAAAAAAAAATGTGATGTGATTGGTTAGCTGTCCCAGTGCGTTGTGATTGGCGAACAGCTTTAGTACTGCCACGCCCCCTTGCGCCGTCTTTCAACAAAACCTTTTGGCAAATCCGGCACTTCTCACTCATGATGTGGAAGCTGTCCTCAGTAAAATGCGCAGCACACAATAGCAAATTGGGGTTATAATGCTCAGGAACAGGTCAGCTGGCCAATCAGAGCAGACTGCGCTTGTCGGAAGGAGGGACTTTGTAGAAAACGAAGTGCTTGAGAGAGGCGGGGCATAGAGGACCTACAATAATGTACAGTATTTGAAAAATAATGTGTTTTTTTAACATAAAAGCATGTCAGCATATTCTGTTACGCCACATACACAAAATAATGATCTTTAAAAAACATCATATGACCCCTTTAATAAAATGATTTCTTATGCAGGGCCATAAGGAAGACCTACAGAGGACAGGATGCTGTGCAAGTTACTAATCGGGTCTTTATGGATTGATTGTTTGTTTGAATATTACTATGCTGTTGTAATATTTTAACAGGCCTGTAATGGATCTACTGTTTGATGAATAATAAACTGTAGTAGTAACTAGGCCAGGGGTTTTCAAACTGGGGTCTGGGGACCCCATGGAAATGCTGGGGGTCTGTTTAGAGAAAAATAAAAAGTATTAAAGTATTTAAGTAATAAAATTACAAAAGTAAATAGATAAATTAGATTAAAACAAATAAAATAATTAAAATACAGAAGTAAATAAAGCAAAGCAAAAAATAATAATAAAAGTAAATGTAAAAAAATCCTTGCACAAGGAAGATCTTGTCATGGAGTCAGTGGCATCTACTGAAATAGGCAATGGTAGACCTTAGAAGTAGGTTTTGATGTAATGTTAGGCTATTTCATAACTTACAGGATCAACAAACTCAGCATTGAGTCCATAGCAAAGTTTCTGGATGCGTGATGTGATTTTGTCGAACATAATACGCTCCTGGCGACCATCTGAGACAAGAAAAACACCAGATGAATAAAAACATGAGCTATAATAATAGGTCAAGCAGAATACCTCATGTTCAATAAAAGATGGACGTGATATGAAGTCAATAAAAACATGAAAAGTTAGTAAAATACGATGCTAATAATTATAGCAAAACAGTTTTAAGCTAGCATAACCCGTTACATGATGATTGATGATTTATGTAGCATCTGCCATTCATTCATGTTTCATTAGTGGATGACCCAGTCAAAGAAGCAGTTGGCGCCAACTTCGAGTTAACAAAGAACACCACTAGTCTTCAGGTGCGGTTAACACGAACAAATATCGTTTTCAAGGATAAAGTTATGTAGTTGGAAAAAATTATATACTAGCACACAATCAATAAATCTGCGTCCTTAATCAAGACTTCATACGAACGCATTTTCGTTCTTCTCTTTAAAACGCGGTTAACGTTACACGATTAAGGTAACGATCCATACGTAACATGTTTGATTTACAGATTGGACATCATTTTGGTTATGAGAATAACATAAACGTACAATTTGTATGCTAACGTAAATAAGGGTAACGTTAAGTATTCCCTTATTTATATTAGCACTCAAATTGTACGTTTGCTCAGTATGCTGCAAATATACAAGTAGGACGAGTGGGACTTTACCTCTCTTGATCACGTGCATGATTGATGTCTCTGCTAAAGAGCACAGAATTTTTTTAATAAAAAAATTAATTTATTAGGCGTATTTGTGGATAAAGTGCTATTCTGTTGACCGACCCCTCAGCTGCTTCTTCTGCCGACTGTTGTTGTTGCAGACTGCGCGCGCTCCTCGAACCCGCCAGAACGACCTTCGTCAGATACGGAAGACAATCTCAGCCAATGGGCCCTCGCTTCTTCTTCGTTTTCTGTTTATTGGCGGTTTTGGCAAACCAACTTAAAGGTGGATTACCGCCACTTACTGATCTGGAGTGTGGAGTGAACAGATTTGGTAGAGAGAAGGATATTTAAATATATATACCACAATTACAATTTATATTCTTTCCATATTTCCTGTCTTTTTTAGATAATTGAACACTTCTTCTTTAATTCTTGATTGCATTTGTCTATTCCCTAGTAATATCTTGAGTGATGCTTTATCATGTCCCATCAAACCTAATTTATGATTAAGTTGATTTCTTTCTCTTTCATACACATCACATTCTAGAAGAATGTAATTTACTGTTTCTGGATTCCCACTTTTATCACATCTTCCATTTTCATGCTTCCCTATTTTCCCTCGCTTCTTCTTCTTCTTTTGGCGTTTTATGGAGGTTGGCAAACAAACGATAGGCGCATTCCCACCACCTACTGGGCTGGAGTGTGGACCATTGATGGAATAGGAAGAACTAAGTAAAAAAATCAATAAAAATATATAATAATAAGAGAAAAAATAATAATAATTAAAACCAACTTAAAGGTGCATTTACCGCCACCTAGGCCCTGTCCCAAATGGAACACTTCATGTGCACTTGCGTTCTTACGGACTTACAATGGCCGCAGCGTGCGCGTGTCCGTTAAAGGGGTCATATGATGCTATTTTAAAGATCATTATTTTGTGTATTTTGTGTACAAATACTGTACATTATTGTAGGTCCTCTATGCCCAGCCTCTCTCAAACACGTAGTTTTCAACAAAGCCCCTCCTTCCGACAAGCGCATTCTGCTCTGATTGGCCAGCTGACCCAGTGCATTGTGATTGGCCGAACACCACAAACATGTGTCGGAAATGTAACGCCCCTTACCATAATCACCAGCTTCAGCTTTCAAAGTAAATATCAAGACAGTTAATAATGTTGTTAGTTTTACCATCAGTTCAAGCCCGAAAGGGCAACAGAGTCATGTGACAGACACAGTGATGATGCAGTACACAAGCCGCGGTTAAGACAGCTGATGTGCTATCCACGAGACCGTATGGTGTCCCATTTGTCATTTTAGCGTTCAGAAGGGTGCTCGCAAGCGCCCCCTCTGCGGCCGTTATGCGCCCTTGATCCGCACTTCTGCCGAGCCTGCACTGGGGCGAACTCCACAGCAGACTTCTACCCAACAGTCAAAGCGGCATTACGTCACGAAAGTGCGGACTCAGAGGAAGACCGCGAGGGTTTAGGGTACCATTTGGGACAGGGCCCTACTGAACTGGAGTGTGGGCAGTAGCTTGATAGAAAGGAAGGAGAAGAAAACATTTTTTCAACTATATATTTCTGTTAAATTCTTTCACTTATCCCAGTATTTTTCAAATAGTTCATTAGGAGAGTATGTATTTTCCTAGACATTGTTTTTTCCTCCTCATACTAGACGGAACAGGAACAGATGATTCCATTTTTCCCATCTAAATTGCACCCTAAACCCTTCGCGATCTTCTGTCTTGTACAAATACCCACACTTGCGGTCTTGGCCACTTGAGAGCGCGTGCCCTTAATGCACACTAAATCCACACTATCTCGAATACCGCTCCGGAGCGCTATTCAAGGCTAAGTGTATCCCATCATGCGTCATGTTCTGGAAATAAATCGTGAGACTTTTTGCCGAGATCTCACGAGAGGTCACGGAAACCTTTCCAATGCAAGTTAAATATTAATATAATAATAATAATTAGATATTACAAATAATTTGGTAGAAAAACTGTGTTTTTACTTTTATTGGTGCAAAGATGAGTTGTGGTGATATTTATTTTGTACAACATTTGCAACTGCTTTTTATCATTTAATTAGAAGCACCACAAATTTAAATTATGTCATGTTATAGGGACTACTGGACAGACATTTAGAAGTTGATTTTAAAATGCAAAGTATGTCAAATTAAAATTAAAATTAAGCTGTGTAAACACTTGCATTTTTACAACACTATAGTGTGTCCCATCAGGTAATGAAAAGTTTGACACACACTTGTGGTCTTCATGCTCACTTGAACACTTGGGCCAAATACAGGAAATACCTCATATAAGTAGTCAAGTGGTCAAGTGCAAAGACCGCAAGAGTGGGGCTGCGTTCCAGTTAATTTTTTTATGCCCTTCACTCGCAAACTTTCCTCCATTACTCGGATGTTCGTCATTGATTACGTTGCATGTGTTAAAAAGGCCCGCTGCAAATGAACTTTTATTTTGAAATGTTCTGGCGATCAGGCACTGTTTGAATGTGCTGTCAATGGAGTTAGAGTTTTCCACAGTTTTGGAGATGCAGCCATCCGATGTTCCTGTTGAGCGGCCCAGGAGACAATTATCTCTGCCTGCACACTTGCAGGATTATGATTTGACTGGTTACAATCTGGTGGAAACCTTCCGAGAGGAAAATGCTGATTTAAAGAAACCACAAAAGGACATGATTACTACAGTTCAGCAGCTGAAGGAGGAAAGAGATGATCTTAAGCAGGCCAACGCCAAGTTCACAACACCGATGTCTCAACTTCAAGCAGAGGTGAGACAATTAAGTTGTCAAAATGAACAGTCACAACCTCCTCAGGCATTGTCTACCCTTCCGGTACCTAGTCAGTCCAAAGCCCTAGATCGCCCTAAACCAGTTCCAGCCCCAAGAAAGCCAAGAGCAACTGAACCTGGAGCAAAGCCAAACTATGCCCAAGCCTCTCACGATGCATCACAAGATAGTAGTTCAGCAGAAAGTGTGGAGAGCTATGAGTATTCAAGCAGTCAAGAAAGTTTGTCCTCTTCTGTTGATGGCATGAGAAACTTGTCCCTGAGCTCATCCAGGCGAAAGAAAGTTAATACCAGTCCAACAATTGATAGACAATTTTATCTGAGAAAGGGTGGAGGAAATCAAGCCAAGATTGTAGGAAGTTATACACCATATTCTTCCAGACCACGGCCCAGCTTGTCTTCTAGGAAAAAGAAATGGCACCACCACTCCCCGAGTCCACCTACTGGGCAGGAAAGAGTATATCGTGGCCCCACTCCTACAATTCCGGACCTGATTCACCCAAACCCCAGAGAGTTTGCACGGCTTAAGATTGCTTTAGAAAACATTCTTCCAGCTGATGCTACAGAACGCTTTAAGTTTCATATCTTGCTAGAACATCTCAAGGTTGAAGAGGCTCAGTTAATTGCTGAATCTTACAGCAGTTCACGTCATCCTTATACCAACACTATGGATGCCCTCAATCAACAGTATGGCCAGCCACATCAGTTAGCGTTGCAGCGCATAGTGGAATTGATGGATGGGCCCAGCATCATCACTGGAGATATTAAAACTTTTCGAATGTACGCTCTGAGGGTGAGATCTTTGGTGGGAATGCTGAGACAGCTAGGTAAGCCTGGCATAGTGGAATTAAGATGTGGCTCGCATGTGTCCAGACTTCTGAGTAAATTGCCACATGATCTGCGCAGCAGTTTCAGAAGATTTATTTATCCTTTAGAGGTGAAGATTCCTACCCTCCTTAACTTAGCAGACTGGTTAGAATATGAAATCCAAGTTCAAGAAGATTCCACAAGGTATGCAAGCCGTTGGGGCAGAGGATACTCAACCAGTTTGTCCAGGGATATGTCAAGGAAGGTGAAATCATTCCACAAAGGGACAGAAGTTCTGCTTGGCACTGAGAAATTCACTTCATCAGCAACAAATTCTGCAGCTGTCACAGCTAAGATCACAAAGGGGAAGGTTTACTGCCCTTATTGTGATAACGACAAACACACTTTGAATACCTGTGTAAATTTCTCTCAACTTTCCAAATCTCAGAGGCAGAATTGGATCAAGGGGCACAACCGATGCTGGCGCTGTGGACGGGGCCATAGATCGGCAGAGTGTAACCTAAAAATGCGCTGCAAAACATGTAATGGGCGTCACTTACTTGTTCTACATGAGGTTAATGCATGGAACAAGGAGAAAGCCATGGAAAGGGAAGATCCATGTGCTAGCCCTGTCATGGGGGAGGCTGCCAACGAGGTGTTATTCATTGACAAGCCCCCAGGAAGTCGTAAGGTACTGTTAAAGATATTTAAAGTCATTCTAAGAAATGGAAATCGAGCCATGAATGCTTATGCCATTCTTGATGATGGCTCCGAAAGAACCATCTTGTTAAATACTGCAGCAACCCAGCTGAAACTGAAAGGTAAGCCGGAGGACTTGCCCCTGCGCACAGTCAGACAAGAGTTAAAGATCCTGCATGGGGCGGCTGTTTCCTTTAACCTTTCACCAGCCTGCCAGCCAAACAAGATTTTAGAAAACATTCTTCCAGCTGATGCTACAGAACGCTTTAAGTTTCATATTTTGCTAGAACATCTCAAGGTTGAAGAGGCTCAGTTAATTGCTGAATCTTACAGCAGTTCACGTCATCCTTATACCAACACTATGGATGCCCTCAATCAACAGTATGGCCAACCACATCAGTTAGCGTTGCAGCGCATAGTGGAATTGATGGATGGGCCCAGCATCATCACTGGAGATATTAAAACTTTTCGAATGTATGCTCTGAGGGTGAGATCTTTGGTGGGAATGCTGAGACAGCTAGGTAAGCCTGGCATAGTGGAATTAAGATGTGGCTCGCATGTGTCCAGACTTCTGAGTAAATTGCCACATGATCTGCGCAGCAGTTTCAGAAGATTTATTTATCCTTTAGAGGTGAAGATTCCTACCCTCCTTAACTTAGCAGACTGGTTAGAATATGAAATCCAAGTTCAAGAAGATTCCACAAGGTTTGCAAGCCGTTCGGGCAGAGGATACTCAACCAGTTTGTCTTCCGCAAGGTATGCAAGCCGTTAGGGCAGAGGATACTCAACCAGTTTGTCCAGGGATATGTCAAGGAAGGTGAAATCAGTCCACAAAGGGACAGAAGTTCTACTTGGCACTGAGAAATTCCCTTCATCAGCAACAAATTCCGCAGCTGTCACAGC